GTACATTCAATATAAAGGAAATTAATCTCATACATAGTTTTTACTATATTTAACATAGTGTAAGGTTTTTTTGGAGAAAAAGATTTTTGTTGTCTCTACCACTACATTCGCCACTGTCAGTGGTGACACTGTCTATTGCTGCTGGCGACACTGTCGTCTATCGCCGTTGTCAGTGCTACGTCGTTTAATGTTGTCATAGTCAGAGTTCTAGTTTTGATTAGTGACAACATGGTTTTGATCGTCTTGGTCGTTCGTCCTAAAAATTTTGTCTTTCAACACCTGTGTCTGAGTATTGTTGCTTTTATCCACCGATGTTCCCTATGGGGGAGTCGGTTTCTAGGAGCTTTGATGAATAAAGCACTCCATTCTCTTGAAGAGATAATCTTTCACCTTCACTGTCTATCATCGGTGCACCATCATTTCTATCATTCGTCGTGATAGGCGATATGTTTTCATGTGATCCAATCTAGTTTGATGTCATCCATTATAGGCCACCACCCGATAATGGTAATTTAGTCCCTGCTCTTCGTCGTTGTCTGTTATTGTAGTTCTCATCAGTTACTAAGGGCAATCTAGTCCATGTTGTTTGTTATCTGTCATTATCGGTCATCGTCCACTATTGGTGGTAATCTCCTTTGTCAAAGTCATCTTAGTTGAAGTTTCATGGTTGTCCACCAATGTCCAATATTATTCTCCATAATTTTTAGGATTTCTCTCCCCTATTCGTCTATGGCTTCTTTCGTTGCAGTCTCATCTGACCTCCTTTCTATCACCATTGTGTTTGTTAATTGTTCGTCGACCTCTGTTTGCTTATCAACAGAGATTTGCAAAAATAGATTTATATAGAGCAACTTTTCAGATATGTGGCCTTCGCAAATCATTAATAATTTTGTGTCACCCGAGTTCAAAAGCAGGTATTTTCACTAATATTTTCACTAATTTATTGATTATATTAGTAACAAGCTTGGTACATACAATCTGTATGTACTAGCTTGAGGGGAATTGTTAGTTATATTATCTTTATTTTATATTTTATTTTTAGTTAATTTATTATTATTTTTATTTGTATTTTAGGCTTAGCCCATATGTTTTCTATTATAAATATAACATCCTACGTGTATATTCAACACAGAAGATATTAATCTCATATATAGTTTTCATTTCTTAATAAATATAAACTTGAATGGAAAGAATGTGTCCTGAATTAAGTAGTGGAATGGTAATTAATACTGTAATCGTTGAGAATTAGGAGAGAGAGAAGAGAAAATTAGTAGTAAAAGGAGAAATTGTTTTGTATAATTTGAGATTTAGCATTTGCTACGTGTAAAAGGAGAAATTGTTTTTGAAGGGTTTCCAAACATGCTAAAAGTACCTGACTGATGTTATCAGTTCCAAAGCTTTGTGACTGTTTCAACATTCACTATTAATGCATGGTGTAAATCTATGTAGCTGAACTGTAGCTATCAAGCTCATTTGGCATGTGTATGTAGTAAGGTAATAAATTCATCTGTTTTGCTTCTAGAAAATGATTGGAGTGAATACTTAAAGTCGAGTGGAAATCAAAACTCATCTATTATTCTTTCTAACATGATTTATTGTTTTCTTGATAGGAAAGGAAACATGATAGATAGGAAATCTCTCCTTTTTCTTCCCTAGCACACTCTTTAATGCTCTTCCTCTTTTAGGAAACGGGGCATTGGCCTTTAATTGCACCCTTACCATCTTATGGAAGAGGGAGGGAGCTCCCTGGAGCAAGGTATATCAGTTTTCTCCATGGAGATGGACTTACTGATGTGGTGATCACAGGTGAGTATCAAATCTTTAATATTTTCTGCAAAAGTAAATTAAGGGGGAATGCTCCCTTTCTTGTGCACTTTATAGACAAACTAACATTAAGTGAGCCTTACCCAATCTTTTCATAGGTGAGAATGGGACAATTGATGGGCAAGGAGATGTGTGGTGGAACATGTGGAGGAAGAAAACACTTAAATATACAAGACCACACCTTGTTGAATTTATAAATTCTCAAGATATTCTTATCTCAGATGTCATTTTCAAGAATTCTCCCTTCTGGAATATACATCCAGTTTATTGCAAGTATGATTGAGCTTACAGAAGGAATTTCTTTTTATAGTATTTTCATTTTGTTCATTACAAGTTGCTTGAAACAGAGACTAGAAAGGAAATCAAGAGGTATAGATGTTTTCATGGACTATAATCTCAAACTCTGTTCCTTCTTTGCAGCAATGTTGTGGTTCGATATGTCACAATCTTGGCTCCTCCTGACTCTCCTAACACTGATGGAATTGATCCAGGTAAGTTCCCTCTAAATAACCCACATCTTATGCAAATAGTGAAGTAAAAACTTGTAATAAATAGTCAAATCCTAACGCAACCGATTTTACTCGTTGGTATTGAACTCTTCCTTTACCAGAGAATTCTACCTCGTCTCTTGTTAAACTATTAGATGGAAGGGAAGTATTGAAATTACTAATGTGGTTTATCCTGTTCAGATATATGATTTTATACGTTTTCATGGTGCATGAAATAACAATTCAGCAGCATCAAGTGTCATGTTGTGATTGCCATGAGGTGTTTTATATAATCTGCATAATTTATTTATGCAGATTCAAGTTCAAATGTCTGCATAGAGGACTCATACATATCCACAGGAGATGATCTTGTGGCAGTGAAGAGTGGATGGGATGAGTATGGCATTGCCTACGGTCGCCCTAGCTCCGGCATCACCATCCGGCGGCTGACCGGATCGTCGCCATTCGCCGGCATTGCAGTTGGCAGTGAAACCTCTGGTGGGGTGGAGAATGTGCTAGCTGAACACATCAACCTCTTCAACATGGGAGTAGGTATCCACATCAAGACCACCAAAGGCAGGGGTGGGTTTATCAAGAACATCACAGTGGCTCATGTGTATGTGGAGAATGCAAGGCAAGGAATTAAGATTTCAGGTGGGGTAGGAGGGCATCCAGATGACAAGTATAATCCTAATGCTCTCCCAGTTGTGAAGGGCATCACAATAAGGAATGTTTGGGGAGTGAAAGTTAAGCAAGCAGGTCTGATAAATGGACTCAAAAGTTCCCCTTTCACTGATGTTTGTTTGTCTGTTATAAACTTCCATGGTATGAAAGGACCAAGAGCTCCTCCCAATTGGCAGTGTTCTGATGTCTCTGGATCTGCTTATCAGGTTAACCCTTGGCCATGTTCTCAGTTGAGCAACCAAGAACATGGATCATGTGCCATTTAGAGATTTTCAATCTCTTATAGTTTTGTAATAATTGAGTGTTTCTTTCATTGAATTTTTATACCTATAATCCTATTGTATCACCATGTTTCCAACTAACTGTATGATATCACATGAAAGAATAATCCCTACCTAGTTCAATATTAATAATATTTACCCAAATTCCATGATGAGAATTTGACTTCTGGGTATCTAAACTATGCTTTGGTCTATCATTTTGAATTGATTTTCCAAAAATGAACTTTTCAATTATCTTAAAACTATTTGTTTGGTAAATTTTATATAAACTATTAAACTAAATTAATTAAATAATTAATAGATGTTTTTATTATTAATAATAAATTATGAATTTATCAATCTATTTTGCACTTGTTATTCACTCTGCTTGTTAAATTGAATTTATGGATTATGTACCTATCATCTGGTATTTTTAATATTTATTTCAAAATTTCATTTTAGTAACTTCAATATTAGAAAAATAATTGGTAATATATTAAAAAGATTAAATACATATTTACAATATTAACTTCAACTATTAATTTGAATTGAAAATTAAACTTTCAGGTTTCGTTATTACATAATTTTTCTCACAATTGAACAACTTTAAATATGTTATATAATCAACTTAATAATTTTGTTTAAATCATTAAAATGTTAATAATTATTTTTTAAATTAATTTATAAATTATTCGTAAAATACTTAATATGTCAATTTACAAATTTAGTTATATTTTGTTGTCCAGTCATATTATATGGTCAAGTCATCAATAACTTACTTTGAATTTATGAAATTTTAAAGCTTTATTAGAGTATAAGATAAAAACACATTTGATGGTTTAGAGTCCACCATTGTTCACTTTAGTAAAGATTTATTTGCAAAACAACCATAACAATTGTATATTTCCCTTCAATTATATTTGTTTTATGTTCACATTAGTAAAGATTTACTTACAAAACAACCACAACAATTATATATTTCCCTTCAATGATATTTGTTTTAGGAAGATTGTTGTTCTTTACTTTATGTTTGAATTAAGGTGCATGATCATGTGTCGTTTTATAGACAAAACAAATTCCCTTTTTCTTGAATATGAAGTTAGATATATTAGATAGAGAATATAAAAATATATTTTTCTTCCATGATCAAGTTATTTAATATCCATAAATAGATTGTGGTTTTGTATGGATTTTGATGTCTTTGTCTTCTATGATCTTCCAACAGTAATAATTTCTGATAATGAATATTTGTCTAAGACATCTTTAACAATGTATTTGAGAATTAGAAAATCTCAAATATTATTCACTTCCTTACAGGAGTACCACATATGCAAAGTGCCTTACTGACATGAATCCAATTTTCAATTGTCAAAAGTTTTGTAAAATGAAAACTAATTTTTGAAATGTTAAAAAAAAGTTTTACAAAAATAGTTTGTACTGCAAAAACACAGTTAAACTTCTATTGTGTAGAGTCGTTGTTGATTTCTATGCCTATTTAAGTCTTTAAAATTGGTGTAAGAACTTATTTGGAGTGTATTGCACAAGCTTCTAAAACTCCTAGAACACACATGAACTTTTAGGAGATTTTCGAGATACTCAGAGCTAGCCAAAAAACTTTTAAAGACCAAAAATTAAAACTTATGAGTTCTATTAGTATTAGCAAGTAACATTTCTTACTCATTCTTCATCATCCACCACACCACAAGTGTTACAAACAACCTATTATTCTATCAAAACTCATAAATATCATAACAATATCAAACTTAGTAGATCATAGTATGATACATCATCATACATCTTTTCCACACCTCTATAACAGATGCAAACTTATTTACATACATACATATATTTGTATATTACTACCATATAGCGTCATTATAATCACTCACACAGATTCAGTTACGTCGTGACAATCAGAATAGGTTCAGGAACTTGCGAATCTTCTTGGCGAACGAATTCTCCTCGCGGTGCTGGTGGTGGTGCTGATTCTCGCCGCGGTGATGGTGTTCGCGAAAGGAATCGACGCGCTCCTCGGTCGCCAGAACCCGCGGCTCGGAGTCGGCGTGGACCGTGACCCAGCGCGGATGGATCCGGCGAGCGGCGGCGTTATCAAGGACGATCGCGTCGTTGCCGTAAGGGATCTGGAGGCGGTGGCCGTGGTGGAAGCGGCGGCGGCCGGAGCGGAGTGATATCGGCAGCGCCGAAGCTCGGAAATGGTTGAAGTGGCGGTTGATCGGACGGAAGCGGAGAAATGTAAGGGGAACGGGATCGATGGTCTCAACGGTGAAGGCAACGGTGCCGTGCTCGGTTTTAGGTTGGGGAAGGTTGACAGGTTCGGAGTGAGGTTGGGTTTCGGAAAATGGGTTTTGGAGATCGCGGGCAAGTGTGAGGGTGAGGAGGAAGAGAAAGGAGAAGAAAACGGAAAGGGAAGGAGCTATTGTTGCCATGGTGAAGGACGTGTTTGGCTGTAAATGTGAAACGGCAGAGATAAAAGGGGTTGGGGAAGGAGAATTTTCTTGCTTATGTCGTAAGAATCACGTTGCAGCACCACTTGACTTTCTTCCAGGTAAATTCATCGTCACTGTAATACTTTATTTTATTTTTATATATTTTTAGTTGGTTTTATGGGTGTTGATGTAGATAGGTCCATAAAATAATGAGCCGTATGAGAGAAGGTTATGTAGTTTAATATATTTTTTACTATTAATTAATCATTTTTAACAAATAAAAAAAGTATTAATTTAGGAAGCGTGGGTTGCTGACCTCTAAAAATATGTAGTAGATTTTATAAGCAATGAAATATTTGAAAACGAAGTAAAAGATAAATAATTGTAGGTGAATAATAACTCAATTGAAATTACTAAGGTTATCATCGAGTGTAATAGTTAATTAGCATTGACTTTCTCAATTTAATTACTGATCACAAATTATTTTTTTTACACTAAAAAAGTTGGTTAAAAAATTACATTGTAAGTGTAATAGAGATTTCTAATATTATAATTTTAACAAATAAAAATTCATTTTCATCTTGAGATAATTATACCATCATATTCGTACGAGCTTCTAAATATTGAGTTGGAATTATTTAAGGNGTCCATGTTGTTTGTTATCTGTCATTATCGGTCATCGTCCACTATTGGTGGTAATCTCCTTTGTCAAAGTCATCTTAGTTGAAGTTTCATGGTTGTCCACCAATGTCCAATATTATTCTCCATAATTTTTAGGATTTCTCTCCCCTATTCGTCTATGGCTTCTTTCGTTGCAGTCTCATCTGACCTCCTTTCTATCACCATTGTGTTTGTTAATTGTTCGTCGACCTCTGTTTGCTTATCAACAGAGATTTGCAAAAAAAGATTTATATAGAGCAACTTTTCAGATATGTGGCCTTCGCAAATCATTAATAATTTTGTGTCACCCGAGTGCAAAAGCAGGTATTTTCACTAATATTTTCACTAATTTATTGATTATATTAGTAACAAGCTTGGTACATACAATCTGTATGTACTAGCTTGAGGGGAATTGTTAGTTATATTATCTTTATTTTATATTTTATTTTTAGTTAATTTATTATTATTTTTATTTGTATTTTAGGCTTAGCCCATATGTTTTCTATTATAAATATAACATCCTACGTGTATATTCAACACAGAAGATATTAATCTCATATATAGTTTTCATTTCTTAATAAATATAAACTTGAATGGAAAGAATGTGTCCTGAATTAAGTAGTGGAATGGTAATTAATACTGTAATCGTTGAGAATTAGGAGAGAGAGAAGAGAAAATTAGTAGTAAAAGGAGAAATTGTTTTGTATAATTTGAGATTTAGCATTTGCTACGTGTAAAAGGAGAAATTGTTTTTGAAGGGTTTCCAAACATGCTAAAAGTACCTGACTGATGGTATCAGTTCCAAAGCTTTGTGACTGTTTCAACATTCACTATTAATGCATGGTGTAAATCTATGTAGCTGAACTGTAGCTATCAAGCTCATTTGGCATGTGTATGTAGTAAGGTAATAAATTCATCTGTTTTGCTTCTAGAAAATGATTGGAGTGAATACTTAAAGTCGAGTGGAAATCAAAACTCATCTATTATTCTTTCTAACATGATTTATTGTTTTCTTGATAGGAAAGGAAACATGATAGATAGGAAATCTCTCCTTTTTCTTCCCTAGCACACTCTTTAATGCTCTTCCTCTTTTAGGAAACGGGGCATTGGCCTTTAATTGCACCCTTACCATCTTATGGAAGAGGGAGGGAGCTCCCTGGAGCAAGGTATATCAGTTTTCTCCATGGAGATGGACTTACTGATGTGGTGATCACAGGTGAGTATCAAATCTTTAATATTTTCTGCAAAAGTAAATTAAGGGGGAATGCTCCCTTTCTTGTGCACTTTATAGACAAACTAACATTAAGTGAGCCTTACCCAATCTTTTCATAGGTGAGAATGGGACAATTGATGGGCAAGGAGATGTGTGGTGGAACATGTGGAGGAAGAAAACACTTAAATATACAAGACCACACCTTGTTGAATTTATAAATTCTCAAGATATTCTTATCTCAGATGTCATTTTCAAGAATTCTCCCTTCTGGAATATACATCCAGTTTATTGCAAGTATGATTGAGCTTACAGAAGGAATTTCTTTTTATAGTATTTTCATTTTGTTCATTACAAGTTGCTTGAAACAGAGACTAGAAAGGAAATCAAGAGGTATAGATGTTTTCATGGACTATAATCTCAAACTCTGTTCCTTCTTTGCAGCAATGTTGTGGTTCGATATGTCACAATCTTGGCTCCTCCTGACTCTCCTAACACTGATGGAATTGATCCAGGTAAGTTCCCTCTAAATAACCCACATCTTATGCAAATAGTGAAGTAAAAACTTGTAATAAATAGTCAAATCCTAACGCAACCGATTTTACTCGTTGGTATTGAACTCTTCCTTTACCAGAGAATTCTACCTCGTCTCTTGTTAAACTATTAGATGGAAGGGAAGTATTGAAATTACTAATGTGGTTTATCCTGTTCAGATATATGATTTTATACGTTTTCATGGTGCATGAAATAACAATTCAGCAGCATCAAGTGTCATGTTGTGATTGCCATGAGGTGTTTTATATAATCTGCATAATTTATTTATGCAGATTCAAGTTCAAATGTCTGCATAGAGGACTCATACATATCCACAGGAGATGATCTTGTGGCAGTGAAGAGTGGATGGGATGAGTATGGCATTGCCTACGGTCGCCCTAGCTCCGGCATCACCATCCGGCGGCTGACCGGATCGTCGCCATTCGCCGGCATTGCAGTTGGCAGTGAAACCTCTGGTGGGGTGGAGAATGTGCTAGCTGAACACATCAACCTCTTCAACATGGGAGTAGGTATCCACATCAAGACCACCAAAGGCAGGGGTGGGTTTATCAAGAACATCACAGTGGCTCATGTGTATGTGGAGAATGCAAGGCAAGGAATTAAGATTTCAGGTGGGGTAGGAGGGCATCCAGATGACAAGTATAATCCTAATGCTCTCCCAGTTGTGAAGGGCATCACAATAAGGAATGTTTGGGGAGTGAAAGTTAAGCAAGCAGGTCTGATAAATGGACTCAAAAGTTCCCCTTTCACTGATGTTTGTTTGTCTGTTATAAACTTCCATGGTATGAAAGGACCAAGAGCTCCTCCCAATTGGCAGTGTTCTGATGTCTCTGGATCTGCTTATCAGGTTAACCCTTGGCCATGTTCTCAGTTGAGCAACCAAGAACATGGATCATGTGCCATTTAGAGATTTTCAATCTCTTATAGTTTTGTAATAATTGAGTGTTTCTTTCATTGAATTTTTATACCTATAATCCTATTGTATCACCATGTTTCCAACTAACTGTATGATATCACATGAAAGAATAATCCCTACCTAGTTCAATATTAATAATATTTACCCAAATTCCATGATGAGAATTTGACTTCTGGGTATCTAAACTATGCTTTGGTCTATCATTTTGAATTGATTTTCCAAAAATGAACTTTTCAATTATCTTAAAACTATTTGTTTGGTAAATTTTATATAAACTATTAAACTAAATTAATTAAATAATTAATAGATGTTTTTATTATTAATAATAAATTATGAATTTATCAATCTATTTTGCACTTGTTATTCACTCTGCTTGTTAAATTGAATTTATGGATTATGTACCTATCATCTGGTATTTTTAATATTTATTTCAAAATTTCATTTTAGTAACTTCAATATTAGAAAAATAATTGGTAATATATTAAAAAGATTAAATACATATTTACAATATTAACTTCAACTATTAATTTGAATTGAAAATTAAACTTTCAGGTTTCGTTATTACATAATTTTTCTCACAATTGAACAACTTTAAATATGTTATATAATCAACTTAATAATTTTGTTGAAATCATTAAAATGTTAATAATTATTTTTTAAATTAATTTATAAATTATTCGTAAAATACTTAATATGTCAATTTACAAATTTAGTTATATTTTGTTGTCCAGTCATATTATATGGTCAAGTCATCAATAACTTACTTTGAATTTATGAAATTTTAAAGCTTTATTAGAGTATAAGATAAAAACACATTTGATGGTTTAGAGTCCACCATTGTTCACTTTAGTAAAGATTTATTTGCAAAACAACCATAACAATAGAATATTTCCCTTCAATTATATTTGTTTTATGTTCACATTAGTAAAGATTTACTTACAAAACAACCACAACAATTATATATTTCCCTTCAATGATATTTGTTTTAGGAAGATTGTTGTTCTTTACTTTATGTTTGAATTAAGGTGCATGATCATGTGTCGTTTTATAGACAAAACAAATTCCCTTTTTCTTGAATATGAAGTTAGATATATTAGATAGAGAATATAAAAATATATTTTTCTTCCATGATCAAGTTATTTAATATCCATAAATAGATTGTGGTTTTGTATGGATTTTGATGTCTTTGTCTTCTATGATCTTCCAACAGTAATAATTTCTGATAATGAATATTTGTCTAAGACATCTTTAACAATGTATTTGAGAATTAGAAAATCTCAAATATTATTCACTTCCTTACAGGAGTACCACATATGCAAAGTGCCTTACTGACATGAATCCAATTTTCAATTGTCAAAAGTTTTGTAAAATGAAAACTAATTTTTGAAATGTTAAAAAAAAGTTTTACAAAAATAGTTTGTACTGCAAAAACACAGTTAAACTTCTATTGTGTAGAGTCGTTGTTGATTTCTATGCCTATTTAAGTCTTTAAAATTGGTGTAAGAACTTATTTGGAGTGTATTGCACAAGCTTCTAAAACTCCTAGAACACACATGAACTTTTAGGAGATTTTCGAGATACTCAGAGCTAGCCAAAAAACTTTTAAAGACCAAAAATTAAAACTTATGAGTTCTATTAGTATTAGCAAGTAACATTTCTTACTCATTCTTCATCATCCACCACACCACAAGTGTTACAAACAACCTATTATTCTATCAAAACTCATAAATATCATAACAATATCAAACTTAGTAGATCATAGTATGATACATCATCATACATCTTTTCCACACCTCTATAACAGATGCAAACTTATTTACATACATACATATATTTGTATATGACTACCATATAGCGTCATTATAATCACTCACACAGATTCAGTTACGTCGTGACAATCAGAATAGGTTCAGGAACTTGCGAATCTTCTTGGCGAACGAATTCTCCTCGCGGTGCTGGTGGTGGTGCTGATTCTCGCCGCGGTGATGGTGTTCGCGAAAGGAATCGACGCGCTCCTCGGTCGCCAGAACCCGCGGCTCGGAGTCGGCGTGGACCGTGACCCAGCGCGGATGGATCCGGCGAGCGGCGGCGTTATCAAGGACGATCGCGTCGTTGCCGTAAGGGATCTGGAGGCGGTGGCCGTGGTGGAAGCGGCGGCGGCCGGAGCGGAGTGATATCGGCAGCGCCGAAGCTCGGAAATGGTTGAAGTGGCGGTTGATCGGACGGAAGCGGAGAAATGTAAGGGGAACGGGATCGATGGTCTCAACGGTGAAGGCAACGGTGCCGTGCTCGGTTTTAGGTTGGGGAAGGTTGACAGGTTCGGAGTGAGGTTGGGTTTCGGAAAATGGGTTTTGGAGATCGCGGGCAAGTGTGAGGGTGAGGAGGAAGAGAAAGGAGAAGAAAACGGAAAGGGAAGGAGCTATTGTTGCCATGGTGAAGGACGTGTTTGGCTGTAAATGTGAAACGGCAGAGATAAAAGGGGTTGGGGAAGGAGAATTTTCTTGCTTATGTCGTAAGAATCACGTTGCAGCACCACTTGACTTTCTTCCAGGTAAATTCATCGTCACTGTAATACTTTATTTTATTTTTATATATTTTTAGTTGGTTTTATGGGTGTTGATGTAGATAGGTCCATAAAATAATGAGCCGTATGAGAGAAGGTTATGTAGTTTAATATATTTTTTACTATTAATTAATCATTTTTAACAAATAAAAAAAGTATTAATTTAGGAAGCGTGGGTTGCTGACCTCTAAAAATATGTATTTTATAAGCAATGAAATATTTGAAAACGAAGTAAAAGATAAATAATTGTAGGTGAATAATAACTCAATTGAAATTACTAAGGTTATCATCGAGTGTAATAGTTAATTAGCATTGACTTTCTCAATTTAATTACTGATCACAAATTATTTTTTTTACACTAAAAAAGTTGGTTAAAAAATTACATTGTAAGTGTAATAGAGATTTCTAATATTATAATTTTAACAAATAAAAATTCATTTTCATCTTGAGATAATTATACCATCATATTCGTACGAGCTTCTAAATATTGAGTTGGAATTATTTAAGGCTTTCATGTGCATTGTCATGTTCTCACAAAACCCCCAAATATCGTATTAAGATTATTCAAGGGTTTTATACAAAGTAGTCTCACCTATATATCATTCTTATAAAATTTGGACATTTCTCATTCCACCTTCAACCATTTTTTTTCCTTTACCTTTAAATTTTTTAAAATTTCAAACTTATCCTTTATAAAAAAATAATTTAAAATAACTTGTAGCAACTAAATTCAACACTCAAAAACCTCAACAACAACAACTATTAATCACGATCATCATCATCGCGAATCACAGCCCAGGAAATAAAAACTTACATACCAAAAACCCAATCGCAAATTCTAATCGCGAGTCTATCCATCATTGCATAAGATCGAACCACTCGCAACAATCATAGCGAATCTTAGAGTCCAAAACTCAGGCTATCGTGATGCAACCGTGAGAGCAAGCACATTCGCGAGCCTCATCCATTCTCCATTGTGAGCAACTCGCACTTCATCGGACGCACATCAGCAAGCAAAGCACACCGAAAGCGAAACCATGAAACCTAATTATGTTCTCTAATTCGCACATTCAAATCACAAACTCTATGAAAACCCAAATACCTTCACATTCTTCGCGAACTTGCAAAGAGAAAGTTCATAAACATAAAAAGCCCCAAATCGCAACAACCAGAATCGCAAAATCACCGTCAACAAACACCCTAGTGCAACCTTCAACCTGTAAATAAAATACTTGCAGAGGAAAACGAATCAGAAATCTCGTTCCCAATTTGGTTTTCAAAAACCCTAATTTCGTCATTTCTAAATTTAATTTTTAGACATATTAAGTTTGAAGATAATGACGTGGTAGAATGTGGTGACAACTCAACATAATGTGTCACCTCAATTAATTTTAACCATGTTAATCCAATTTAATGACAAGGACCCAATTGCACTAGTTTTTCATATTTAAGGACCCAATTAAGACAAAAAAAAAAGACCTTGAGAAAATCCAACATAAATAGAGACTATCAGAATGATTAAACCATTTCAAAAATTATCTTTTGTAAAAAAATTTGAAATTCGATAAAAAAATTTTCGAAGGCTTTAATGGATTTTAAAACTTGTTGTTGGATTTTTTGAATGTTTCAACAAATTTTAAAATTTGTTAAAAGATTTTTCAAAAATTTCAACAAAGAAATTCGTTGAAATTTTTTTTGAAGGTTTCAATAGATTTTGTAATTCATTGAAGACCTAAACAAATTTCGAAATTTGTCTAGATTTTTAGTGAATTTGAAAATCCGTTTAAGTTTTTAACAAATTTTAAAACTGTCAAGATCTTTAACGTATTTTAAATTTGTTGAAAGCTGCAAATTGGATATAAGTTTCATGCATGCATATGTTTTCCATGAAGAGAAACGTAACTTCTTTTTGTTTGTAATTTCATGGCCTAATACAATAAAAATATCTTCCAAAACATTTAATCCAAAATATTTTGTTTTAATTTATATTACAAAATGTATAATTTAGATAGTATTTTTGAATCTGAATATAATTCAAAATAAACATTTCAAAAAATGTTTTAAATATATAATTCAAAATGTGCTTCTCAATAAGAAAATATATACCGAATTGCATAATTCAAAATTCGTTAAAAGAAAGTGCAAGAAGAGAGGTAATTTGGGACTAGTGTATTTTATGGTAGTACAGGAAGGAGAAGGAAGTGTCGAGAAAACATTACAATAAGATACGATACGTCAGTTAAATGTATACTTTTCTTTATTTACAAAAATCACATGTAGAGTAATCAATTGCAACTTTCCACATTGTAGGTTTAATATATCATTTGGTCTCTACTTTTAAGGATTTGGTTCAAAGTAATCATACCTTTTAAAACATATTTTGTTCAAAAATATTCAATCCGGTCCTTTCCACTCATGTCGTTAAAAACATAACGGTGCAAATGTCACTGTGGCATCTTATAAGCACATGGCACACATTAATAGGTGGACTTAAATGATTTTTTAATTTAAAAAAAGTCTCTGT